ACAGAAATAAATACAATAAAAATCTTATACATATTATTCTAAAATTGTTTTTTCTTTTTTATTTCATTTATTTAATTTACAGTCAGTAATGAAAATGAATACAAAAATATTTGATTTTCATAAGATTCACATATATCAGGAAAATTATAACACATAGGGTCCAAGATATGAATTATAATTGCACGACTCTCGTCGAAACAATTGAATTAATCAAATCATAGTTAGCAGGAACCATTAACTTAACTGTAAAAAAGAAGTAAATAAAATTGTTGGTTAGATAGAGAAAATATAATAATAGTTATAATATATATACAAGTATACAATATCTAAAAATATATATTAGATATATATAGATCTATATATATAAATATATAAATATATTTAAATTGTATCTTAAACATGCCATATATAGATCTATATATTATTAGATATATATGTACATATGTATATCATATATATGCTCATATTATAATCAAGTGATCTACCCATTCTTAAGTGGTCTCAAAATTAATCCTTTATTATTATTTGATTTTCCAGATACTCACTCTCTATTTAAATGAGCACCCGTATCCGTGGACAAGCAGCCAGCACCACCGCCGAATCCATAACCCTTGGGACCATACTTGCGTCCGTGGCAATTTTTGCAGAACAGTGTCTTTTCGTGCTCGGTGCAGTTTGTCGAGTCCAAGGCCTTATTGCACATACCTATTTGAGGAATATGGCATTTTGATGTATGGCTCAGGGTGAAATTCGTTTGCGTTTCTACTTACTGCACTTGAAGCAAGTCTTATGGAATTTGTAGCCACCAGCAACGCGCTCTTCAGCGGCGTAAACCGATTTGCCACAGGCTGGGCATTTGGGTGTCTCTACCGGAACGAATGGCATTGTGTTATACTAGCTACAAGAGATTATGAAATTCAATATTATAAGAGATTCTCAAAAATTTCCGTATTAAACTTAAATATTCTACTACATATAACTAAGTGTTTTTTTTTTTCACGCTTTCAACAGCTTCGACATACCGACTATGGTAGACTTGTAAAGAAGTTCCTGTATGTCAAAGACGCTGCCGACTAAACTGGAAAGATTCTGTAGTCTGGTAGTCTATATTTGTGGATGCACACGGCACAACAAAAAATACATTTTGCGTTAGACATACGGCAATAAAGCGATAAATATATAAATTTTTTGTTTTTGCACCCCTCCCGGGGTTACGTCGGGTACGTAACCAGTATGAAAATAAATCTATTACAAATATACCTGCTTTACAACAGCAACAAAAT